GCTCGCGGCTGCCTTGGCCTTCCTTGCCATCGCGCAAACAAAGAAACATACACATGCACGCACACACACACACATGATTAATGATGGAGTATTAATTATTATTTATTAATCATTGGGCGGCGGAGCGGCGCGGCGGCGGGCGGCGCGAGGCGGCGGCGCGGCGAGGCAGCGGGCGACGCAGGGCGGGGCGGCGCGGCGGCGGTGGGGTAATTAATTATTTGTTAATCAATTATTACTTAATAATCATGGGGTGGCGGCGCGGCGCGGCGGCGGGCGGCGCGGAGCGGGGCGGCGCGACCATCTGTGCTGACCGGGCCTCTGGTCTTTGATGCAGCACAATGGTCGCGCCGCCCTCGACTCAAGGGGCTGCCTTCCACCCGTCTGCTCAGGCCGGGGGAGGGGGGGAGACCTCCTGTTCCTCGCGGAACGGGAGCAGGCCCCTCCTTGCCCGGTCTGCAATGCAGGGCGGTGGTCGTGCCATCTTCGCGTCAGGGCAGCCGGCTTCCTTCCACACTGGGTTGCGTTTTTCTCGAACCACGAAAAATGCGAGAAGAGAGACCTACCTACCAAGTATGGCGATCCGCCTCCACTCTTTGTTGCTCGCTCGCCCGGGCGGAGGGCATGGCCGCGGAGGAGGCGGGCGCGCGCTCTTGCCAGGCCTTCCGCAGACAGGCGTGGGCTGAGGGAGCATCTGTGGTGCTTCCTTTGGGAGGTGCGCACCTCCTGCGACTGGTGGAGGGCCGTGCCGCCGCGCGCCTGCTCCGTGGACAGGGCGGGGAGACGGCGCCGCAGCGCCACAGCCTCCGCTGCAAGCCGGTGCAGCACTCTGCTGCTTGGTGGGCAGCCTCCTGGATCTGTGCGCGACGTTCGCGAGGCTGCAGTGGCGCGGTACTGCAAGCCGCGGCGAGTGGCGCACGGCATGCGCGGCGCCGCGCGTGGCCTGGACAGCGCCAGAGAGCGCGCTCGATGGCCAGCCCGCGCGGTGCGAGCGCCGCACAAGCTGACGCATCGTCTGCCATGCGGCGATCCTCTGGTCGACGGCGGTCAAATCTCGCGATTGTCGATCAAACTCGGCGGGCTTCATTCGACGCCGTTTACGCGATCGGCTGGTTTTCGCTTTTTCTTTTGCGAGGGACCTGAGCCCATCGGCCGGTGGCTGCGCTGGCACGGAAATCCCAAAGGGGTGGTGTTCGCTCCAATCTCCTCTCTTCCTCTCCCCCTCTCCGTCGCCCCCCTCCTCGCCGCACCATCACCTCCTCCAGCAAGTCCTTTTCGCCTATCTTTGCCGTCCCTCCAATGTATCCTGGAAGAGCTCGTCGTCATAGCCCTATTGCATCACAGCCTGCTGCACTGCGTCGTGTATAACCCCTGCCACCCTATCCCGCGCCTCGGCGTCGGAAAAGTATTGGTCGAGCACGGAGTCATACTCGGAAGCAGGCGCAGACGGCCGCGGTGATTTGGCAGGCGGCGAGGGAGAGAGTGAGTGTGTTAGAGTTTTGTTGCCTCCATCCAGAGAGAGAGAGATTGTGTTTGGTTTGTCCATCCTTTACGGCAACACAAAACTCAAGAGAAGAGTCGTGATTTCTTGGATACCCATCACTGAGCCGACAATGCTACGGGTAGCCCCAGGGTGGCGCCCACCCCCATACCCTCGGGCACTTGCCTGCGCCCTCACGCTCTAGCCCACGCCCTACCCCGCAAGATCTCACTCCATCCCGGCCTGCGGCATACCTCGGCACCCCCTTGCATGGAATCTGAGCGTGAGGGAATCTGAGCGTGAGGGAATCTGAGCGTGAGGGAACCCTGGGCAGTGCCGCGTAGTGCGGCGTGCGCGCGGGCGTGCGCGCGGGCGTGCGCGCACGTGCGCGCACGTGCGCGGGCGTGCGCGCGCGTGCGCGGCCACGGCGCAGGCAAATGCCTGAGGGTATGGGGGTGGGCGCCACCCTGGGGCTACCCATAGCATCGTCGGCTCAGTGATGGGTATCCCCGTGTTGGTTTTCAAAAATATCTCTCTCTCAAAACTCTCTCTCTCTCTCTCTGAACGGCGGAGCTTGGAGTTATTCTCGCGTCCACACCACACCTGGCTCCAAATGGCTGGGGACACTAGTAGGTCACGCGGCGATTCGTGTTTCTTTCATCGCTGCTTGAAGGTCCCGCTCATGCTTTGTGTATGGCACCCGTGTTCATTGTGTTTTGTGTGTGTGAGAGAGAGAGATTTTTATTAACCAACAAGATCTTCTTTCTTCTCTTGTGAGAGAGTGTGTAAAGAAAGAAAGAAAACAGACAAATCCAAACGAGGGATGGGGGAGGACAGGGTCCGAACCTGCATGAGCAGGATTTTGGAAGGTCGATCAGGCAGGGGGACAGGTGGGGCTCTCCTGCTCCTGACAAAGGACTCATTCTCGCAATAGCAGTATTTCTTTGTCGCTTGTTCAAGGCTTGCCGCTCATGCTCAGCCCCCTCCTGAGGCTGAGCCCCCTCCGAGCCCCTCAGCGCCCATCCCCTCCTTGCCCTCCCCGCAGGCCATGTCGCACGACATCGAGTACTCTGAAAAGTACGCCGACGAGGACTACGAGTACAGGCGCCGCTCGCGCGCAGCGACCCGCCACCGCTTTTGGCAGTTGCCCCGAACCCCCTGCGTGCGCGCGATCCGACGCCGCGCGCGCGCGCGCAGGCACGTCATCCTGCCCAAGCATATCGCGAAGACGATGACCAAGGGCCGTCTGCTGCTAGAGACGGAGTGGCGCGGCCTCGGCGTCACGCAGAGTCGAGGCTGGGGTCACTACGCGATCCACAAGTGCGCACGCGCGCGCGCGCCCGCGGCTCTGCGACCGTTGCGTGCCTTGCACTCATACCTCTGGCCCGCCGCGCCTCAGGCCGGAGCCGCACATCCTCCTCTTCCGCCGGCCAAACAACACAGACCCCGTCACCGGCCTCGCTCCTGGAGGCAAGCGCATCGACCCGACCGGCAAGATCATCAACTGATGATCGGCGCCCCTCCTCTCCCGTCTCCCTCCCTCCTCCCCGGCCTGATACGTAGCTGCCAGCTTGCACGCCGCCGACCGCGCTCCAGCGGCGGCGAGCTGTAGAGGCCCGGCGCGGCGCGCGCGCCGCGTGGTGCGGCGCGCGCTTCCGAGCGCCCAGTAAATGTATTATCTTCCCTGCGCGCCTGGCGGGGCGTGATGTGTGCGTCACTCACACTTCACACACACCTCTCTCGTGCGGTCTACTCTCCCTCGCAGTCGCACGGTCGCACCGCCCCTTAGCTAGATCTGTCTCTCTCGCGCGCGCTACCGCTAGCCTCGGTGGCGCACACATGCTACGTGTGCTCGCATCAATTCTTTCTACTGTATCGCCGCAACGACACAAGAATGAGTTAATGCCATACCACGACACCGAGAGGGCAGCACCGCCAGCGCCACCTGAGCTCAGGAGCCCCAGGACGCGCAGCCGCAGGAGCGGAGCCGGAGCCGCGGAGGAGCGCGCGGATCTCGCAGAGAATACGTCAACACCGTCTCAATCCATCCGGGCGGCGGCGGTCAGGCACACGCTGCCGGCCACGACCGCTATGTGACCCACTGCACCGCAGGCTGCACCGAGTCCGAGACGCGAGAGAGGCACGCACTGCGACCCGTTTGTGGCGCTGGTGTGCGCCCGAGAGCGGCCGACCCGCGAGTTCACCAGCCACCACGACCCTGCCCCACGCCTCACTCCCATCATCGCCGCAGCGCGCCGACAGCGGCCTCGCCAGAGGCCGGAGCTGCGAGGGCGAGGAAGCAGGACTGCACCGCAGGCGGTCAGCAGTGCGCCCTCGAGGCGACCAGCAACTCACTTCTTGTACTGCGGGGCGAGGTCGGGGACGGGGTGAGATCGAGGGGGAGGGCAGGGCGGCGGAGGGAGGGAGGCGGGCTCGCCTTCTTGAGCATCGCACGCAGCTCGTCCGCCGACGGCTCGCCCGTCGGCGGCGAGGCCACCTTTGCGGCGGCCGGTGGCGGCGGCTTTGGCGCGGGCGGCGGCGGCGGCGGCGGCGGCGGCGCGGGCGCCGGAGCGGGCGTGGGCGCGGGCGCGGGAGGCGCCGCCGCGGCAGGCGGCGGCGGCGGCGGCGGCGGCGGGGGCGGCGGCGGCGGGGGCGGGGGAGGCGGCGTCGGCGCCGGGGCCGGGGCGGGAGCCGGCGCCGGAGCCTTTGCCTCGGGTTGCGCGGCGGGCTTGGGCTCCTCCTTCTTCTTCTCGGGTGCAGGGGCCTTCTTTTCCGCGGCGGGCGGCGCGGCGGTCATCTTGACCGCGGGAGCCGTCGAGCTGGCGAGGCTCAGCGCGATGATGGCCGCCGAGGCGAAGCCGGTGGCGGTGACGGCGAGCTGCGTCGGGCTAATCTCGATCCCGGCAAAGTTCTCGGCGGAGAAGAAGTTGGGCAGGTCCGCCTGCACCGCGGTCTTGGGCGTCGGGCCCTGGAAGAAGAAGTACCCCTTGCCCGCAATCGGATCGGTGCGTGGCGGCCAGTTCGTGCCAACCTGCAGCGCCTGGCGGCGGCGCTCCTCGCGGTCCTTATACCGGACCGGCTTTGAGCCGCCCCCGCCGGCCGCGACCGGCGTGCCGGCGCGCAGGAGCGTCGTCCCGCGCGGTGCGGTCACGGAGGGCACGACGACGCCGTCGCTGAGCAGGCAGAGCGTAGCGAGCATTCTGCGATTCCGCTCCTGGGAGATCCTCTGCGAATTCAGTCAGGACGCAAGAAACGCGCCGCGATTTATTTGCGGCAGCGTGCCTTGCGGCCGGCGACGAAATTGCTAGAGGCGGAGCAAGCCTGCTCTAGTCTCACACGTTCGCCCCTGTCGCCTTTTGTCTCTTGGCACCTTGGAGTGCTGGGGGGGGCGACAGGGGGAACGTGGCCTGAGTGATGTGTACGCCCACTCAGGATGTGTGGCAGCCAGCTGGCTGTGTGTCTTGTGAGCTTGTTTGTGTCTGTGTGTCGCTCGTGCGTGTCGTCATCATCTGTCCAGCGTCCACCCATACCGCGTCGGTGTCCAGTCCAAGCCTGACTGTTCTTCACCTTCCTACATACATACATACCTGGCTGCGCGAACGAACGAACGCGAACCCCCGCAGGGTTAGGGCTCTCTACACTCTAGCCCGCAGCCCGGATCCCGATCATCCGGCCGCTGGGTGCGCTTCTTAGCTCCCCGGCCCTGGATGTGAGGCTACCGTGTACCGACTCGCGACTGCTCCAAGTGCCGCTCCAAATGCTCAGCCGCGGTTGGTGCGCTTCTTAGCTCCCCGGCCCGGTGGATGTGTGGGGATGTGCGGTTCGCTGACTGCACAAGAGTGCTTCAAGTACCGGGATTCAGGAGCCCTCTTCAAGATTTTTTGGGGGATCTCGCTACATGACCAGCCCCCCTCCCTGTGGACACCCCTCTCGCGCCTCCTCCGGCAGCACCCTCTCCTCCTCCCTCGCCACTGCGCCGCCACGGGCGCGGAACCGCAGCTCTCGCAGCTCCACCGGCTCGGGCAGCGGCTGCTGCTCCTCCGCCGCCGCCGCCACCCCATCGCGGCCGTCGGCGCCGACCGGCACGCGCACCGCCGCGGGGTCGGGTGCGCCGTCCACCCCGGGCCGTCGCCGGATGGTGGACTCGGCCTTGTCGTTCTCCGTGTAGGCGAGCGGCCGGGGCGCCAGGATATAGGCGTCGAGCTCATCGTACAGCGCGTTGAGCCGCGAGTCGATCGACGCCTGCGCAATCGCCCGCAGCTGCTCAAACGGGCCGTAGAGCGCCGCCTCCTTGCCGGGCGGCGGCCAGCCGCTCGGAGCGGCGGCGTTGTGCCGAAAGACGGACTCCGTCGAGAGGGGCAGGGCGCGGCGGAGCAGCGCGCGCGCTCCCTGCGGGCTGAGCCAGTAGCACGCCGTGCCCCACGCGTGCGAGAGGCGGACGCGGCGGACGCGGCACGTGCTTCGGAGCGCTGCGTGGATCCAGGGCCTCTGGTACGGCTGGGGCGGATCGTACGCGCTGATCGCACCGCTCCCCGTTCGCGGGTCGATGGTGGCAGTGATGGTGTCTTGGTTGAAGGCGCAGAGCGTCAGGTCGGCCGCCGCGAGCAATTCGTGGTTGCGCGAGGCCCATGCCTCGATCTGAGGGTGCGTCACGGCGTCGTCCTCGAGCACCAGTGCCGTCTCTTCGCTGTCCGCGACGTGCTGCCACACGCGCCGGTGAGAGAGCGCGGTGCCCACGCTGCCCGCATTGAGGTCCTCCTCGGACGCAAGCAGCCCCGGCGAGATGACCTCCGGGACGAGCTCGGACAGGCGCAGCTCTCTCCCGTCCACCGCGCGCCAGACGGTCAGGTTTGCGAGCAGGTGCGCGTTGGCGGCGCGAAAGGCGGAATAGCGCGCCGAGCCGGCATCCAGGGTGATGACGTGCGGGCGGATGATGACGGCCCTCTCGGCAGAGGCGGCGAGCGGCGGTGGGGGTGGCAGTCCTCTGGGCGTGGACGCGACGCACGGACCGTCCACCGCCGACACGTGCGAGCCGGCGGGTAGCAGCTGCGCGGCGAGGTGCGAGTCGCAGCGGCTTGCCCTGCTCTCCAGCAGCGCCTGCAGCATGTCCCGCTCGCTGCCCCGCAGCTTGAAGAAGGGCGTCTCCCGCTCCTCCTCGCGCAGCCGCGCCGCCGTCAGCGACATGAGGCGCCGCACCGCGACGAGAGGGAGGTACGCGTCGGCGGCGATGGTCGTTGCGCCCGACGAAGCATCATAGTCGGCAGGCAAATTATCCCGCAGGTAGGCGCGGTCGCCGCCCGCCGCCCGCCACAGGTAGTGCATCGGCCCGCCGGGCTCGACGCTCGAGCGCAGGCGAAGAGGAGACGACCGCAGGCGGGCGCGGCACACGCGCCAGCAGAGGTGCTGCGTGAGGTAGGGGAGGCCTTCGCGCAGCCCGGGGCTCGCGTGCTCCGGGGCCGCGGCTACGCAGTAGGCGTCAAACCCGGTCAGCGCCTGCCGATACTCGGCCAACCAGCAGCCCACAAAGTCGCTCTGCGCCGGCGCTGCAATCGCCCAGTTCTCCATGGTTTCATTGTCGTGAGGGTACAAGAAGCCCTGCAACGCGTCGCTGTGTTGATCAACCCAGCTGTCGAGCGGCTGCAGCTGCACGTTTGAGGCATCCATCCACACGCCGCCGTGGCGGTAGAGCGCCTCCAACCGGTACCAATCCGCGAGGTGCTGCGGGCTAATGGCCGCCGAGTCGGATTGCGGTGGCGGCGCCAGCTGAAGCTCCAACGCGGACTCGGGCGTGATGACGCTGAGTGTCCAGTCCGGGTTGAGCCGGGAGAGCAGACGGAAGCAGCCGGCGACGGCGGTTGGAAGGCGCTCCTCGTGCCAAAAGGAGAAGATGTGTCGCGGCAGCCGTTCGCGCCGCGGCTCCTCCTCGACGTTTGGCAGCAAGGCGACGGCGATGAGGCCGAGGGGAGCTGGCATATTGCTTGGGTCGCGGATAGCCTGTTCGGCGGGACGCACGTTTCTAAGCAGCCAACTTAGCGGGGCGCTGTCTCGGTCTCGTGCCTCCTCCGAAAAGAAAGAAAATAGAAAACCAAGGGAGGGTGTGGCGACCCGCGCTCATTTCTTCTTCTCCGGGTCCTTGCCGGCCGTCGGCGGCCGCGCTCCGCCCCACTCAGCGCCTACTTGCTCACGCGAATGGCTGCGCCTGACGAAGAGTTCCGAGTCAAGTCGCTCACGTGGCACGGCCGTGACACCTACATGCTCATGCAGGGCGACAACGGCCCCTGCCCGCTCCTCGCGCTGTGCAACGTCCTCCTCCTCCGGAATTCCATCGCACTGCCGCGGCCGGGCGCACCGAACGTGGCGCAGTCAGAGCTGACGGCGCTGCTGGCCGAGTACATGCTCGAGAGCAATCCCGTGACGGAGGCCTCGCCCCCTGACCTCGCGGCCAATCTGACCGACGCCATGGCGCACCGAGCGTAGATCTACCGAGCGTAGAGCGCCGACAATCTCTCTCCTCCCCTGCCCTCGCTGACCTGCTCGGTTCGCCCGCCCGAGAGCGCAGCCGCGAGCCGCCCCCGCCTCGCCGCGCAGGCGCTCTTCCCGAAGCTCGGCCGCGGGCTCGACGTCAACGTGCGCTTTGACGCCGTGGACGGGCTGGAGTACTCGGAGGACCTGCTCATCTTCGACCTGCTGCGGGTGAGGCTGCTGCACGGCTGGCTCGTCGACCCGCAGGACACCGCGACTGCCGCCGCCGTCGGCGCGTCTGCAAGCCCCCTCCCGGCACCGGCCCGCGCCCCCTCCCACCCTGCTGACCCTGGCCCGCTCCCTTCACCACCTGGCATAGGCTCGCGCTCGTACAACCAGCTGGTCGAGCGCATCATCGAGGCTCCCGAGAGGGACGGCCGCCCGACTCCCGCGCCCGTCCACTCACCCTTCCGCCTGGTCGCAGATCCAATCGCTCACACAAGCGAACGCTGCCGCCGAGCCGGACGCGCCTCCGCCTCCGCCTCCCGAGGCTGCAGCACCCTACCCTGGGGCAGACCCGTTCCCTGCGGCAGACCCGATCCCTGCGGCGGGCGGCGCGGCGGCGGCGGCGGAGGCCCCGCAAGGGACGGACGCTGACTGCTCCGAGGACGAGGAGATGCGGCAGGCGAGAGCTGGAAGTCATTTCCTCGCCCCTTCCTAGACCCTTCCTAGACCTGTCCTCGAGCTGAGCGCCAAGTCCCCTCCCCGCACGTACCCGCCCCGTGCCTCCTCGCCGCATCGAGGCCACCTCCCCACCTCCCCTTCCCGTCCGCCCGCAGGCCATGCAGCTCAGCCTCGGGCTCGCCTCGCCGCCGCCCTCGCCGCCGCCCTCTCCAGCGGCGGCGGACCCCTTCCCCTCGCCAGCGCAGCCCGCGCTGCGCCGCTCCGACTCGATGGCGGTGCGAGAGGCGCTCTCCGTAGGCTCTCCCTAGGCTCTCCCGCTGCTCCCCTCTCCCCCTCCACCTCCCCTCTCTCCCCTTCCACCTCCCACCTCCCCTCCACCCCTCCCCTCCCCTCCCCTCCACCCCTCCCCTCCTCTCGCCAGGCGCTGCTGCTCACCGAGTGGCTCAACGGCTCCGCCTCCCTCTCGTACCACGGGCTCATTCTTCTTAATTCTCATGATGAATGTGTCATGATTTAGGCTCCGCCTCCCAGCTCTCATACCACGGGCTCGTGCAGCTGCACGCCTACCCTCGCCGAGGCGGCGGCAGCCTGTGAGGAGGCGGAGTCACCGCCAGCATTTGCCGTGCGTAGGCACGCTTCCCTCGCTGAGGCCGAGCTCGCCGTCTTCTTCCGCAACAACCACTTTGCAACCATCACGAAGCACGGCGGCGAGCTCTACCTCCTCGCCACCGACGTCGGCTTCGCGCGCGAGCCGCTCGTCGTGTGGGAGAGGCGAGCGCAGCGCCGGCCCTGCAGACCCGACAGCGCGCAGAGAGCGGAGCCGTGCTCGAGAGGAGCCCACCGCCGCCGCGCGCGCGTAGGCTCAACCAGATCGACGGCGACTCGACGCTCTGCACGAGCGAGTTCGAGCGCGTCGAGGAGTCGCTCACCACCACCGCCACCGAGGAGGCGGCCGCCGCCGCAATCGCCGCCGACATCGCCGAGGCGGAGGCGCGCGAGGCGGCGGGCTTGGGCCCAGCGCAGGACGAGGCGTCCGACATGGCTCTGGCGATCCAGCTGCAGCGGGAGGAGGAGGAGCAGGCGCAGCTGGCCGAGCAGCAGATGCAGCAGATGCAGCTCCAGCGGGAGCAGGCGCTGGCGGCGCAGCAGGGCTATGGCCCTGCGGGACCCGCGCCGGCGTACCCTGGCCAGCCGTACAGGCAACAGCAGCAGCAGCAGCAACCGCCGCAGCAGCAGCAGCGCGGGAATTGCTTGCTGCAGTGAGGAATGCGTCGATACAGGAGGCGCCCGCCTCGTCTAGTTGCGGTGAGTATGCCGTCGGCGTTGGTCCGGCTCCCCGCGGTATGTGTTCCGGCGCCGTCGCCCCGGCGTCGGCCCGCGCGCAGTGGCCAATCTTTCATGTGCAAGGCACTAAATGAAATTGCTCGCTCGTCCCCGCACAGTGATTTTGTGTGCCTGCTGTCTCTCTCTCGCTGCTCGTAAAAAACCGAGGAGAAAAGTGGCGATAACCAAACCAATCTAACACATATAAAAAGCGCGCTGCGCTCTGTGTCTCTCCGCGGTCCGCCGCCATCAAAGATCTCGAACACACTCACACACATTTTGACATCTCCTAAAAAAGACCCAGCTGGCGCGACCCACAAGCACAACAATCGCATCTCTACATGTCAGAAGGGTGTCGCCTCTCCGGTTAAATCCACGTCGGCTAAAAGGCCGTAATCGGAGAGGCATCCACAGCACGACACACGTCCCATGACACGTCCGCAAGGTGCTAGGGATCACCGGCCAACTCCCTTTTCAAGCACGGCATCCACGCTGGGGTGGGTGATGATCGTGCTCTCGTCGGAGCCCACTCGGCCCAGCCTCCACTCATCGTAGCGGTACCACGCACCCGTTAGCCGACCGAGCTTGGGCAGCAGCAGCCTCGCGAGCCCCAGCTTCCAGCCGCTGTAGTAGTCCGCAAGGCTGCCCTCGCCGCGCCCGTGCTTCTCTATGCTTTCCTTGGTGCGGTGAGCACGCAACACCGCCTGAGCATGGAACTCCTGCTTTCGCTCCATCAACGCTGCCTCGGCCATGCGTAGGGGCGGCTGCCGCACACTGCCCGTATTGGCGTCAAACGCATCATTGGAGACAAGCACATCGGCGAGATCGAGAGCGTCGCGCATCGCCAGGATGCCGCCCCCACCGAGCCCGGCGTTGCGTTGCGAGTCGCCCATGCACACCAGCGGCAGCGTCACGTCGTCTCGGAGCGTCGTGTCGCCGTGCATCACCTCAGCACGCACGGTCGCGCGATCGAGGCAGCGGACGGCCTCTCGCCACGTCGGGTCCAACGCATCGCTCACTCCTTGACCCGATCGAGACGCTCGTCTTTCATGATCCCCGTCGCCCGCGACTTTGGCCGTTGGATCCCCATTTCGGCATAGAGACGCTCCTCGCTGACGTCGTGCAGGTAGTACATCAAGCTCTTGCGGTTGTCCTTGGCACCAGCGCCATAGCGCTGCATGAAGATGTGGTAACCGCGGCCCGCACTGCAGTTCCGAACCGGGATAGCCGCCCGAGCAGGGCTGGCCCGCAACACTTTTCCGGATCGTTGATCATGCCGTGTATGATGGTTGTCCCTGTCGGCTTCTTCCCGTCGGTGCACGCCTGACGGAGCGTGCTGTGCAGGCCCATCGCATCGACGACGAGGTCAAAGGTCCCGAGGTGTCCGCCAGCACCGTCCAGAAGATCAGCACCGGCGCCGTTCGCTCGGATGTCGCGCACATCCGCCTCGAATTGCACCGACACATTCTCGTTTGAGGCCATCGCGTCGAGCAAGACGTCGCGCAGGGCACCTCTGTTGGTCTCCGGCTGCGCCGCCATGAAGCTGGGGAAGAGATAGCGAAGCATGGCCGGCCGAAAATACAGCCACAGATGCAGCGCGGAGCACGCGGCGAAGACGGCGGACTCGGCATGAGGAGGACTCGCGCAAATCGACCTTATTCAGTCAGGACTCGCCCGCCTTCGAAGAGAATTTTATCTTTGAATAGAATTTTACAGAAAACGAGGTTGTTGAGCACTTGAGCACTGGATAGGGTCGGTTCCGCATGGTACGGGACCCCTCGATCGTCTCGCCCACCCTCACTGGTGTGTTCATCGGGTGGGGTCATAAATAACAAACACGGTACAGGATCGAGGTGCACGCTGCCGAAGCAGTGTCGTCCCCCCTCTCCCCGACGGCGATGGCGGTGTGACCGATCGAGCTACAAGAGGAGCTTGTTCAGCAGGATCCGGGGAGGTCTGGCGCACTACCTCACTGGGCCTGAGACCGCCGGGACAGTACCCGTCACCGTCTCGGATTTATGTGGAGTCGAACCACTCCGGGATGGGCAAGCCCATCAGTTAATTGTCAGAATTCCTGTTGTGCAAGAGGGGAGGGGGCTCTGACGGAGTGTGCGGCGGGAGAGGGCAGGGAATGGGCGCGGGGGAGGGGGGGGGGGGGGGGCTCAGCCGTGCAAAAAGCATCAATTAATAATAGTGAGGAAGACATATTGCCCGGCCGTTCATGAAGTCCGTCTCGATTTTGGTTTTTTTCCCACAGACCACTCGGGCAACTTTACGAAAGGCAAAGTTTTACTTGACCACTCGGGCAGATTCGATTGCATTTTACCACTCGGGCAAACTCGATGAAACGGACGGAAAACGCGTTTGCGACGGCTCGCCGGAGAGCTATGCATGGAGCGGCCGGTGCGCCGCCGCAGCTCACCGATGGAGCCCGCGTCGCGGCTCAATCCACTGACGCAGCAGCACTGCGACACACGAGGTTGTTTTACAGAAAACGAGTAAGAAAGAACATCGAAGGCTAAGCTCAAAGAAAGAAAGAGCTGTTCCTCGGAGCTCAGAGCTGCAGCCCCGTGGCGAAGTAGTCCGTCCGCCGCGTCGGAAGAAGGCAATCTCATAGCCGAGGTTGGCGCCATTATTCACCGCATGCTCGCCCACGATCTTGGCCGCCCCCTTGCGTCCTTCCTTCTGGTTGAAGATGGAGACGTACTGCACCACCATCTCCCCAAGACGCCCAAGCGGCTTCTTCGAGAGCCGCTTCCAGAGAGCCTGCTCGGGATCGCTATCGTTCGCCTTGCGGCGCAGCTCCTTCATCGGAGACGCGCTCGAATTGAGGCCCTTTGCGAAGCGGTGCATCTGAAGGAGCGGAGGGAAGGCGCGTCAGTGACAGTGTGCGGGCAAGGGCAGGGGAGAGCCGAGGCAAATGCGAGAGTCGCCAACCGGCTCGAAGTTGCCGTCCGCCGCATCGCATGGCGCATGCACGCTCAAAGTCCTCGGGGTTGTGGTGGACTGAGGTGACGTAGCCCCCAACCGGCTTGCCCAGCGCCTCACCGTTCACGTACGTCGTGCGAGTTCCAGGCCATGAAGATGGCACGCTTCTTCTCATCGTCGCCGTAGCCGTCCGGCGCCTTGCCCGCCGCCTTGAGCTCGGGAGCGTACGGGGAGTGCCGCCCGAGCGGCCGTGCTCGAAGCGGTGGCATTTTTTTCTTCGGCAGCGGGACGCCATGTGAGTTCCGCCGCCTGCACCACACAGCACCGCGCATTCACCGTGTGGCGGCCGCCGAGCCCGCACTCCCGGCTCACTCCCCTTCCGTGCCTCAGGGGCAAGCGCAAAAAGGCCAAGCCGCCGCCGAAGAAGGCACGGCCGAAGGTCGCGACAGTCTTTGACTGCCCGTTCTGCGGCAACAGCGAGTCGTGCAGCGTCAAGATGGACTACGAGCACTCGCAGGGCATAATCAGCTGCGATCAGTGCGGGACCAGTCACGAGTCGCGCATCACGCGTCTCTCTGAGGCGATCGACGTGTACGCAGAGTGGATAGACATGTGCGAGGATGTCAATACGAACGGCGGCGCGCGGGTGGCGGCGCGCGAGGCGGAGGAGGACCTGGAGGACGACTTTTGAGAGATGTCGAGGCGGCGGGCCTCATCCATCTTGGTGCTGGCGAGCTGCTAGGACCCAACTCGACGCGGGCTCGAGCACGCGGCTGGCGGCGCGAGGCGTTTGCACGCCGGCGATAGTTTGTGCTTCTCGGCTTTCCTGTGCGCCCGCGGGTCGGTGAGGAAAGGTAGGGAGGGGGAGGTGTCCGCACCGCCGCCGACCACATCCTAATAGCCGGTCACCCCCGCGCCAAAAACGCTAAACCGGTGGCCGGTGGGTCTCTTCTCGGCAATGTGGAATGCGTGTCGCGCCCCCGGCGCCCGCGCGCGCAGCTTTTTCATTTTCTTTCTTGAGACTGGCATTGAAGATCCCTCACACCAAGATCGTGCAGGGCGGGACACATGTCCCTAAATCCCATCTCGCCTCAGAGAGTTTGACATTTTTTCTTTCTTTCTTTGATGGACTCCACCACACCGACGAAGAGTCGAAGATGGTGTCGGCGATAGGGTTGTCAAACGTTAATAGGGGCAAACACTGAAAACGTAACTTGACCGGGGCGCGGTTTTTTTTGGACTAGACTGCTCGGGGGAGGTGGGCGAGTGATTGGGTAGCTTTGGGGCCACCGAAAATAATGAGAACCGCCCCCTATATCTCGCCAAATCTCGATTTTTCGCGGGAATGGGGGCTTCTCAGCCCCGCGCGAGCTACAGTGACTCCCCAGGGCTTGTCCCGTGGCCCAAAGTGGTACCTCGAGCTCCGCCACGAGCGTGGGCAATCAGGAGACACCCACAGTCACGGCGGGCGAGGAGTTGGGTGACGGCCAACTGTCGATTACGGCGCCTCTGGAGCCTCCTGTATCGTCGGTTCGGCTCGAAGATCGTGCCGCATCCGCATGTAAACCACCTCCGCGCCCCCGCTGGCACATGTCCGCATTGCCCGAGCCTGGGAGAAGTTCCCAGTGCCCGGAGGCTGCACAGGTCCGCGAAACGCTGGCGCTGCAGCTCCCGGCGCGCACCCCAGATTCGCGAGGAAAACAGCCGAAAACGGGTCGCGCCGCGATTGACCCTCAGCGAGCCCAGGCGAGCCTGGTAATCCCACCCGGTGGTAAGCGCACGTCCTCCGCGTAATCTAGCGCGCTGTGCAGCCCGCCAGTGCATGGCGCCGACCTGGGCCGACTGGTCGATCTCGCCGCGATCTCGCCATCCAATTCTCGGTCAGGTGTAGTGGATCACCTTAAAATCCTGGATTAATTCCTGAGCCCACCTGGCCCCACCAGACGGGTGGCACGAGGCGCCCGGGCCACTTTTTAGCGCCTCCCGAGCCTCCCGGCGCCTCCTGTGGCCTCCTGAACCCTCTCCCCCGCAGCCTCTCTCGGCGACGTGGGGAGCGGCTGCCGTCCACGGCTCGCACCGGCTCTTCCAGCGGCTCCACGATTGCCGCCTGTGACGCCCACGCCACGCACTGCCACGCGGCCGCTCGAGAGAGCGGTCGACGCCCATACTGCTGGGCGTGGCGCTCTATCGGTCGACGCTTCGGCGTCGCTGCTTGGTTGGGGACCCGTGCCTCGACGCGGCGGCGCGGCCGAGTACGGCTCGGTGGCACAGCGCGTCGCCACGGATGAGATGCGGCCACAAGCGGCTGGGGACCAAGAATGTTTCGTTCTACTTGCAGGAGAGGTCCAAGCAATTCGGCTGACTGCATGGCTCTTCGCGTCGAGGGATGCGTCCAAGATAATGAGTTGCTTATTTGAAAGCGCCGTGTCTTGCGGCATATTCCGGGCCATCGATCCACGTGATGTAACAAACTAGCCGCTATTAATGAATATGGGAATGTTATCTAGTTAAGGCAACCCGAGCGACAACTCACGCGCTTGGCGTGTGTGTGCCTGCTGCTCAAGCGGATCATATCCCCTCCGTTTTGTGGTAACGCGGATATGAGCATATACACAACACACATACCACGGTCATATCCGCGGCCATCTACCGCCGTGCCGCACCACCCTATGTGTTCGCTGTCCACTGCATATATATATATATATGTGCCGCCGAGTCAACGTGCATTGCGCCGTGGGCGCGCCTCGCGCGCCTGTGGCGCCGCCTCATCAGCCGCCACGCCTGCTGCGGTTGCCCCGCGCTTCTTCGGCGCCCCGCGCTTCTTCGGCGCCCCGCGCTGCCTCGGCGCCTCCGCCTCCGCCTCCGCCGCCGCCGCCGCCGCCGCCTCCGCCACCACCTCCACCTCCATCTCCTCGTCCTCCGCCGCCGCCGGCGGCGGCGGCGCATCCAGGTCCAGCCGCCACGCGCCATCGCAGTCCGCGTTGAACTTGCCCTTCTTGAGCTCGATCAAGCCGTCCGACTCGGGCTCCTCCCGCGTGCGGTGCAGCGCCGAGAGCAGCTCCTTGCCGCGCACCTTCAGGAGCGAGGCGACGGGCACCGCCGCGGCGATGTGCCGGTGTAGCGTGTGGGAGCCGTTGGCCGGGTTGTACGACGGGCCCGAGATGCCCTTGGACTTGGCGAGGCAGTCCTTCAGATAGTTCGAGAGCGCGGTCTGCCCGACGTCGTGGTCGATGACCTCGAGCTGCAGCAGCGTGCGCGTGATGTGGGCGAGCGGCTCCGCCGCCCGAGCGGCGGCTTGACTGAGCAAGGACGGGACGAGGCCCTTGGCGAGAGCCAAGTTACGCCACTCCGGATCGTCGGTCGGAGGCTGCCATCGCTCGCGCAACTGCGCACAACACGCACACACGGCTCAGGCAGCAAGGCCGAGATAGAGCCGAGATATAGCCGAGATATAGCCGAGATATAGCCGAGGTGTAGCAGCCGCGGCGGCGGCTCGGGGGGCGGTGGGAGAGCAGGGCGGGCGCCTGCTCGTAGCGATTCGACTGCAACAGCACGACGTTCATCCACTGGTCGACGAGCGTCGGGACGGCGACCCACGAGCCGTCCGCGCCGCGGCCATGTAGCAGCACGAGCAGCGCCCATGCGTGCACCTCCGCCTCGCTGGGCAACGCCTTGCCCGAGGCGCACAAGATCGAGTTCCTGCGGCGCGCGGGGCGGCAAGAGCTCGCCAAGGCGGGGCGAGCGCGGCCACGGCGAGGGCGGGCACGCACCGCTTCGATTCGGGCGCCCCGCGCTGCAGCGCCGCGCGCCGCTCAAGCTCGGCCTGCACGTTCTGGAGGATCTGCTGCAGCTGCTCGGTCGTGACATCTGCGGCACTCACGCGCAAACCTGAGACCCCCACGGGCCCGGCGGCGGCGCGGCGAGCGGGGCGCGCGCAGGGGCACACACGGGCGTCGCAAACGCGCGGGCGCAGCGCGCCTGGAGCACCAGGAAGGGTGCCACCGCCGGCGCCGTGCTCATCGTGATCACCTGCACGCACAGGCATCGCAGATCGTCAATGTCCCGCTGTGTCCCGAGCTTGGGGCTCGCGCTCCGGCGCCACGGGCTCGACGCGAGGACTCTGGAGAGAATGTCAGAGTGAGAGTGGATGAGGTTGGAGTGGAGGCGGCAATCGCCGTGCGGGCGCGCCCGGGGCTGCAGACTCTCCAAAGCAGCGGGACGGGAGCGCGCGCGCGACCGCGGTCCGGATTTTGCGGGGGAACTCGGGGGGAGGGCGCCCCGGACACGCCCTGCACGCGGCGCGGGCTGCCGCTCACCAGGAGCGGCAGCATTTGCGGTCTTCAAGCGAGGTTTTTCTTTCGCCGCCATCATTCTTTTCCCTGCCTGCGGCCTCACTTGTCGCATTTGCGAGGAAAGCAAGCGCGAGCGCTGCGGCGCCGGAGTCTTTCGGTCACCATTCTGGACCATCTTAATATTTTTCAATGATTTTTGCAGGGTCTGAAAGCTGAGACTCAGCTCTTCACGCTCGGTATGAAAGCAAGGTCCGTCCGGGGGGTCCCATTTTTCAGTATTTCCCCCTAACGTTAAGAGCTGAACAGTGTTGCTAGTGTTAACAGTAACAACAGAACAACAGTGGGGCTCCCCAACAACAGTAGCTAACGTTAGGCCGGCTGAACAACAATAAGGAAGGCCTGGCAGTGACCCACGACGATCTCCAGCGTCCAGTGCGGGTAATACCCGAAAATACTCGGGAAAACCCAGAGGTATTTTCGGGTTTTACCCGGGTTTTTTGGCATTTTCTGCTTGCTGACCACTGAACAACAGTAACAACAGTAACAAACAGTAACAGCTTGGGCTGGGGAGAACACTTGAACAACGTTGAGGATTTCAGCCAACAATAGTGCAACTGTTAGGCCCAAAGTTAACGTTTGACCCCTAGCTCGGCGATGTTCCCCACTGACGGCGATACAGCGCACAGAGGCACGGGCTCTACTTGTCGGTGATTGCGCCCACTCTCGTCGAGAAGGCTGCCGCGGGCGAGCACGTCACGGTGGCAGATTACAAGGGCGACTCCCTCGCCAACTCCAACAAGGGCGACCGCACCTCCAAGCACAACAGGGTGCTAAGGGCCCACTATCAAACTATTAGCCTAATAACGTACCTAATTATTAGCACATACCTAATAATTAGCATTTTTCACCTATTAGCTTAATAATTAGCTTATTTACACAATCAGTTTCGTGAAAAATGCTAATTATTAGCTAATAGCAGCGTTATTAGGTATGTGCTAATAATTAGGTACGTTATTAGGCTAATAGTTTGATAGTGCCGCCCAGAATGCCATCCGGGCGCGCTCGGTTGGCAGCATCATCCTCGGGGACAAGGAAAAGCCCGAGGAGCGAGGTGACGCGGCACCTCAACGACACGTCCGTGACTGACATCTGCGAGATCGGCGGCGACTTCGCCACGATGCGGGACGTGCATTACGAGGTCAAGTGCTGGAACCCTCTCATCAAGTCGACGACGTTGGGAAGGGGCTCGTGGGACAATGGTGGCAATGTGGCGTCGGTGGGCCACCTCTACGGGTTTGGAAACACGCTGGACAAGGCGTTGACGGGAGTCGTGGGGTGCAAGGAGCGTGGCCGTCAGGTGGACGGACCGCTCGACCACTCGACTGGAAAGGGATGGGTCAAAGACCACGCGTATTGGAAAAAGGGGTGGGTCAAGACGGATACGGGCTGGAAGTGGATGGGGGCGCAGTACTATACGACGCGAAGTGGGTCAAGAAAGCTATAACGGCTGGTGCACGTGGAAACTTTGGGAGGCATTGCGCCGCCCACCAAGCAGTTCCTCCACGTGTTCGCCAAGGAGGCGGCGGGCAGCAAGACGGACCGGACGGTGTACGGGGCGGCGTCTCGGCGAGCGCCTCCTCCTTCGTCGTCCACCACACGCAGCAGATCTCCAAGGGCAAGGCGGCGGTGGCGGGCGACGCCGAAAACATCAACAAGCAGGCGCGCAAGGAGCGTACCGACTGGATCCGTCCGGCCGTCCTGGAGGCGCCCGCAGAAGGTGACAGAGCGGCGCCCGGCGCCCGGCGTAAGGAGGCAGGCGTCGGAGGCAGGGGAGGGCAGCAAGAGATCTGCGGAAGAGCGGCGATCGCACTCCTCGAGGTCGGCGAGCTCAAGCTGCGGCCCGACCTGGAGGCCGAAGTACGCGTTCTCGGCCCACAGGGCGGCTCGCACGCGTACCCAATGGGCGGCCTCAGCGTCGGCGACCGGCAGCGCGGAGGAGAGCGCGGCGCCCTCGGGAAGTTGCGCGAGCGCATTGCGGACAAGGGTAAGCCCAAATTGCCCTCCGTCGTACGGGCAGCGCAGCAGCTCGAGGATGTCGGCGCATGGCAGGCCGGCGACCTTGATGCCCTCAGCGACGACGGCGCCCCCGGCGGCGGCGGGACCCATGACGGTCTCGCGGGGGGCGGGCGGGGAGGGCGGCGGGCTGGCGGGGGGAACCCCTTCGCCAATCTGCGAGAGAATCCCCTCAAGGGCACTGGAGCCGGCGGCAGGGAGGGCGGCGGCGGGGGGCTTGCTCGGGTCGGCCTTCCTGCCCTCGCCGTCCTTGCCCTTGTGCTTGCCCTTGCCCTTGCCGCCGGGCGCGTGGCGAGAGGGAGCCTTCCCGTAGTGCGCGCGAGCCTCCCCGATGAGCTTGCCCTTCTCCTCAGGGTTCTTGTTGAGGAGGAGCGGGCACTGCCTGTACATGTGCTGCACGGCGGCGCCAGTCTTCCCGTCCTTCTTGCAGACGAGGCAGACGAGCGTAGAGGACGGCCCGCCGGCGGGGGCGCCGGGGGAGTAGGCGGCGAGGACGGCCCGCAGCACCTCGGGCTTGGCAAGGAGGGCGCTGCCCTCCGGCGAGAGGTTGGAGAGGAGGGCGGCAAGCGGGTCGGACGGCGGCTCGGCGGGGACGGCGGCGGCGGCGGCGAGGCCCTTCGCGAGCGAGGAGCACGTCTCGCCCCGCTCGTCCATCTTGCCCATGACGGCGACGCAGGCCTGTATCAGGAGGTTGAGACGGACGGTGCCGTTCTCGTTGTTGCGCTCTTTCGGGCTGAGAGTGGCGGTGACCTCCAAGATCTTGGTGGCGACGTCGGCAGAGGCGGCGGCGGCGCGGCGCGCGGCGAGCAGGGCCTCGGACTCGCGCCGGATCCGTTCCCGGATGGGCGCGTCGAGGGTGCCGATGAACTCGAGGAGCAGCTGGTGTAGCTCGTGGTGCGTTTTGGCCTTGTGGTTGCGGCGCTCGTTGAGCCACATGACGGCGTGCCACAGCTGCTTGAACTCGGCGAGGACCTGCTCGGCCTCCCGCCCGAAGCCGCCGGCGAGGAGGGGCGTCCGAGCGAGCTCCTCGTAGGCCCGCTCCTGGAGGTCAGGGTCGGCACCGGAGACCTTGGAGTAGAGGGCAACGAGGAGGGTGGTTGCGGTTGCAAGCCCAGGAAGCCCGTCGACGATGCGCATGATCTCCTCGCGGGGCCGCTCGCCGACGACGATCTTGTCGAGGAGGACCTGGTAGACGGCGTTGTTGATCGCAGCGAGGGCGCGCTTGTCCACGTGTGAGACGGAGATGAACCGGTTGAGCTCGGCGTCGTCCACCAGGGTGCGGGTGACGGTGGTAGCGGGGCCCCCAAACTGCTGGGGCAACTTGATCTTGTCGGCGAAGGCGAGCTCAACGTACTCGGACATGCTCGTGCGACGCTCCGGGGCGTCCGACTGCTGGTACAGCTTGATCAGCGCGTCGGTGTCGCTCGCGATGACCTTGCTTGAGAGGGGTTCGATATAAACGGTGCCCCCTGATGCGATGAGAATGAAGATGCCGGTCCGCGTCCTCTGGTCGCTGGAGGTGCTGACCTTGAGGAGGGTGCCGGCATAGGCGAGCGTGCCGGCGCCCGCCTCGACGTTGTTGCGCTTGAGCCACTTTGTGGCTTCTTCAGAAGCGGCTTTTGCGATGACTGCGACATCTTTGGCGGGGACCTCTCCGAGGCTCCCCGCCATCGATTCGCCGGCCATATCTGGGATAGCGTGAAGGGACTCCCCCAAAGTGCTGGTCGTGACCAGTTGACGCTGCCACGTCCGGCCGTGCCCCGCGGGGGCGCGGTCGGCACCAGAAGGGGGTTGATACGTTCTCTAGAGACGACGTAGTCGTGGACGGCCGCAATCACAGTGGACGGACACGACGAGACGAGTGTGAAAGCACGGAGGCAACAAAACACACTAGGGTTCGGGAGAAGGCTAGGGTTAGGGAGAGAGTGCCTGACGGGCTTCGGCCCGACGGGATCAACAAGCAAAAGAACAAGCAAGCGACAAACGGCTTCTTGTCCTCGGCCCCAGTGGGGGGTGCCCGCGCCGCCTCTCGTAGCTCTGCAGACGGGCCCCTCCACCCTTCATGTAATCATGTAGTCCCCACATTCGCAATCGTGGGATCGCTTGTCATGAGAGACTGCGCTATGTTCTTCTATTCTCCGCTTTCTCTTCCTGTGTTAGTGCCAGTGCGCGCCAGTCCCGTGCCCAGTGTTGTGCGAAAAAAGAAAGAAAGAAAACGGACAACCCAAGGGAGGGATGGGAGGACGGCACGCCGCCACCACACAGGGATTTTAAGGAGAGGGGTGTGGTAAGAAAGAAAGAAAGAAAACAATCACGCCAAGGGAGGGATGGGAGGACGGCACGCCGCCACCACACGAGAGGGGTGTGGTGTGCGAGGGAGTCTTTTGTTTCAAATTCTCTTTCTTGCCCGTGAATCGTGCCGCGCTCGCGAATTCTCTTTCTTGACCGCCCCGGCTACTTCCAAGGCACCGCGCCGAATGGCCTGCTGCGCCGGCTGTCTCGGCCCCAGTTTGCCGCCTCACTACACGTTCTCAAACAGCGCGAGGAACGCACGCGGCGACGCGCGCATCAGCCCGGACAAGCGCATCTACCTCTCCGTCTTCTTCCCCGACAGTGAGCGGGCGCGGCCGGCGCACTTCTTCTTCGACCGGACAAAGGCGACGAGCCGGGTAGTCGAGGATGCGGTTGCCTACGCCGGCCTCCAGCTCGACCGAGGCCGGTTGGTCGGCAGCCCAGAGAAGCTCAACCTGTTTACACTAGAGGGTGAGGTGCTGCGGACGGACCTGCCGCTCGACGCTCACCTTGGCGCGACGCTCCACCCGTCCGACGTGCTGCTCCTCGAGAAGGGGAACAGAGTATCGGAGGACCGCCTCGACGCCATCAAGGCGGCAGTGGAACAGCAGAACGGATCATGTGTGGTCATGTAGAGTGCGGTGCAACACGACTACTGGGGACTGCCCAGGCCGAGCGTTTTTGATCTCTCGGTCTGTGGGCGCCCGCCCGCCGCCTCTGAGGGGGTCGGGACCCCTAATCTGAAAACAAAAACAAGCTCGAAAACAGCCAAAATCAGCCTGCGAGAGAGGCACTGCGCGCCGCTGAGACCTCAATGTGGCTCATGTGCGATACCTACACGGTATCTCTTGTACATTGGTGTGGGGGGGGATGCGAGTTGCGCGAGAAACGCTCGGCCCCACCGCAAGCGCAGTCAACGGCCGGGTCGCGGGTCCACGGGCGCCGCGCTCGCGCTCTTCGCGAGCGCTGTGTGAGACTCTGCGCTTCTGGCCAGCGTAAGCATGTTGGTTATATACTACTACTCTACTGGTAGCTACAATGTATCCGATGCATCCGAGCTGGGCCCCATGGCGGTTTGGGCGCGCGCACGAGAGCTCCCACAAGACGCGCCAGACCCAGAGCTGCGGCGCCCTGCGAGTGTGATGCATGCGGACACACATGCGATGTGTGCGGCGGCGGCGCGCGGTCAGTGGCACCCAGCGGGACCATGACGGCGCTGCACTGGGGGCCGTGAGCTCCTCATGCCGGCTCGCGGCTGCAGGCCCCTGGCTAGCCCGCCTGGGACGTAAAACCTGCGAGCCGAGCCGCGCCACCCGAGGGGCTGGCGAGCGCGGTGCGGCGTCAGTAGCGCTTCCGCTCGCGGGGCGGCTCGTAGTTGACAGGGTGCGTCTCTGCCGTCGCCTCGGGGTCCTCCTTCCAGATCTTGACCGTCTTGTCCGCCTCGCCGGTGATGAGGCGCGAGCCGGACTGGTCGAAGGCGGCGCAGTAGATCCCGCGCTCGGACTCGAGCGAGCCCGGCTGCGCGACTGTCTCCGGCGTCTGGAAGTTGTAGCCTAGGAGTCACCGTCCTGGGGAGGTGAGTTGTGATTCGTCGTTCCGTCGTCGGCGTCTGGGGAGTGGCGGCCCGTCTTCCAGTCGTACAGGTGGAGCTTGCCGTTGTCGCCGCCAGCAACCATCACGTTGTCCTGCCGGAGGGGGGGGGGGGGCGTGGGCGGCGCGCGAAGCCGGCGCCCGGAGAAGAGGGCGGGAGGGGAGGCTGGGCCGTGTGTGTGCGTGCGTGTGTGTGTGTGTGTGTGTGTGTGTGTGTGTGTGTGTGTGTGTGTGTGTGTGTGTGTGTGTGTGTGTGTGTGTGCCGAGCCGGAGGTGCGGGTCGTGGGTCGTGGTGTGAGGTGCGCCTGGTTGATGGCGAGAGCGTTGATGATGGAGTTGTGGCCGGTGATGTTGTGCAGGAACTTGCCCTCGGGGCACTTCCACTTTTTGAGGTTGTCGGCCGAGGCGGAGCAGAAGGTGTACTCGGTGGGG